AAAATTTCCATGGGCAAAGTTACAGTAAAAAAAATTTCAATGGGCAAACTAAAAAATCAAATGGGCAATGGCCCATTCGCCCCCCCCCTTGGCTACGCCGCTGTTTGTTTTATAGGTCACATTATTTTTTTCATGAATACTTTCATTTTCGCGTCATCTAATACTTTTTATAACTCCTGCATCATCATTTTGCATCATACAATAAATTTATTTGATTTTAAGAATTAATAAAAAGATAAATCTTGATTTTTATTGTGCCATGTAGAGAAAGGAAAAAGAAAATATAGGATAAAATAAGTGAAAATGTCTTTTAATCATCGCCGGTCGATAAACAATGCTTTCCTTCCCAACATATTCCATTCTTTGCGACTTCAGCCAGAGCTGCAGCATCGGCTAGAACAAGAGCTGCACTAATATCCGCTTCGGCTTTAATAACGCCAGCTTTATAGTTATCACTATTCAATTGGGAAAGAGCACTGTAAACCAAAAGAGGAAGTGTTGTTTGAGCAAACTAAATAGAAGAAGAAAATAAATATGAAGTTTTTTTTTTCGCTTTTACTCTCATGTTCTTTGTAAGTAAGAGATCATTATGGCAAGCAAGTTGTACAAGACCAACGAAGTTCGCAGCAAGACCAGCTGCATATTGTCGTGGTACTGCGCTAATATAAATCTCGCAAACCTTTACAACAACTGGAGGTGGAACTGATATAACTCTTTCTAATGGACAATTGTGTTTAACACAGAGACCTGCTGATTGGCCAATCAAAGCGAATGTTTCTCGAATAGTTATATCATAACGTTTGGCTACTCCCCACGGCTAGAGTAAGAAAAGGGAAATTTTCATATGTTTATTATAAGAATAAAACATACGTAAGATGTAATTTGAATATTCAAGAATGAGGCAGCCGGATACCAATGACTCCATGCTGTTCCAAGTGTATTTGTGATTGATACAACTGATGAAGTAAGTGGGCATGTTGATAAGCCAAGACTACCACTTAATATACATTTAATACCTAAGTTGCCATCAAAGAATATGACCAAATGCTAAAATGAAATTAGTTTATTTATATATAGAGCAATTCAACTTACATCAACAATAACAAATGGGCTTGGACCGGCTTTAACAATAACCAAAATCCATTTATTTTGAAGAAGTACTTCCCATTGGCTCTTGTTACAAAAATACATATTAACTGGTTGGTTTACTCCTGTTGGAAATGGTATAAGATGTGGATCACCTGTGTAAGAACATTGTCCGAATGAGCTCAATAGTGCAGCTTGAGCAGGAGCTTGACAAGCAGCGAAGTCAATAAGAATTGAAGCCAATATGAACCAACGATTCATGTTTGTAATTATTATAGAAATAGTCGTATTTGTTATGTTGAATTTAGAATTTGGTTAGAGTTTTTATACTTACAGCTAATGAAAATACAACGCATTAACGCTATGATTCATTAAACGTATACATGACACAAAGTCATAGGCCTGATTTTTCGTATTTTCGCAGTTATGAAACAACTATTTTTAGAGAGAAACGAGATAGAAATCTTTATTTAGAAGAATATTATATTCGTCTTAAATATTGTTGCTATTAAAATTTGGCTGTTGTATTGAACATTGAAAGAAAGAGTTCGTACATATTCTAATATGAACAATAGCTGATATTTATTCATTTTATTTTTCAATTGGGTTTCATATTAAAATTTATGTGACATTATTATAGTATTTGTATTTAATAAAAAACAAAATCAAACATCTATTCGATCCGAAATCTTGCGATTATATATTTGCATGCTACAAAAATATCTTTATTTCGCATAAGAGCCGTTTTGCGTTTGTTATTCTAATTTTTCTAAATAAAAATCATAGATCATCTGTCGTAACAAAATTCTACATCCTCGTTGTACTTTACCTATTCCGGTAACAACCGGTAGTGTTTACATGAAACGTAATTTACTAGATTAGCTTGACTCAAGGCGATATGTAGCGAATAAAATAATTCTATGACGAAAAAATTCATTCAATTGGTTTTACATCAAGATTCTATTCATTTTATAAAACGCAGATACGCTCGCCACTAGTGCGTGGTTTAAATTGCTCATCATTATAACAGTAGTTTTTTTTTCTTATATTAGAATAGAAATAAAGCAAAACATTCTAACTTAAGCCCGTATTAATTCAAACTATGCAACTAAAATTCGCTTTTCCTAATGAAGAATATAAGATAAAACTGTGCAGAATTATCAGTAGAAAAACAGTTTGTTGGCTACAGTAGGTCAGTAGCTAGTTGAACACCTATATAATATTTTGGGTTTTTTTCTTAATCATTTGTATTGCTGATTTGTTTTTGTTGCCCTTTAAAAACTAAAGTTATACTTCTCGCAGTCAAGCCTCAACAAAACAGCATCGACAAATTTATGTGATTTTCCAACCATAATAATTGCATATAATCGAAAATATTTATTTTGCTGTTTTTTTAAAATCTTATTGTATCATTTTGTTTATTAATTTTCTAATAACTCTCTGATGGAAAAGAGTATAACATAGAAAACAAAAACGAAATCGCCGTTGTTCAATTGATGTTAATAGAAACACCATTGGACGATTATCGAAGGCGACGAGCTTCACGTTCAGATTCTAGAAGAACGAGGACATCGTCAACACGGCTAAAAATCAAATAAAACATTGAAAAATATAATTAAAATCTGTAGAAAAATAAATAACATACACCGGGCCCTTTACGTTGCGAATAATCGATCGTTTCGATTGTGATCCATCGATAATTTCAACACGTACTTGTGTACATTGACCCTGACTGCCAGTACGACCAAGAATTTTGACAACACGTGCCATAACACCGCCAGTTGCGTTTTTTTCCATGATGGTAGATGAATGAAATCTAAAAAATAATTAAACTATCAATTGTAATCTTCGTCAGTAAATAATAAATGGTTTCGAAAAAAGAACAAGCAAAATGAATTCATGTGTCGCCATCTTGTATTACTTGTATGTTGTCCTTCAATAATGTTTTCGATTAGATAAAAGAAAATTTGCTTATAATTATTTTTTAGATTTTTTTCAATCTTTTTCAATTCATAATACAAAAAATTTGCATATAAAATACTTGAACCAATAGATATTTTTCAATGTTCTATACTATATTTTCTGGACTCATTTGACATGAAAATCATTACGATCGTCAATTTAGTTACTTATTTTTCATTATTGTCTTTCATCGTATCAGTAGCAAGCAACAACTCTTAATTATAGATCATTACAAAAGTTCATTCTATTCTTTTTCAATAGAAATAACACGTTTTTCTCTCTCATTTTATGTATTTCCTAGCAACCGATAGATCGGTATATTCATGCTTATAGGCCAAATAAAGTTCATTTATTACACATCATAGTTATAGGAGGAAAAAATGCACAAGAATTATTGAACTATGGCTGACAATTAACTAACATTGGAAGGATTTAACAATTTACAGTTGAAATAGTTTGACAACATATTCGTTCATTTTCCAGGCGCTAAACAATTTGAGATAAATCAACGAGTGAACAATATTTCTCTGTACAAAAACTTTGTTTATTTCGAGACATTTATTGATAGTTAAGTTTTTTTGGTAAGGTGTATCTTATTGAATTTCGAACATCTAAAATCTCAACCTATGAGGTATCCAGATAACTCTCTGTTCACAAAATAATACATGAATGGGATTCACGCTCGATTTTTTTCTATAAATAATTTACAAAAAATAATTTTGTTAACCTTATCTAATATTTCTTTCATCATCATCACTATGTTATGTTATGTTATCAAGAAGATCATTAATTTCTATACTAGTTTTATAATGATGAAAAAATTCATTTTTTGTTGACTATTTATTTCAGATTTTTCAAAAAAATGTCTGACGCAGAAAAATACGATGCAATTTTGATGAACGTTGCTTCACAGCATACAGGCGGCATTCAGGAAGTCTGTTAATGAGTTTTGAATTCATGTTTATTTATTCATTTATTTTGCATAGCTACTTGATACACTTTTTGGTTTTTTCGCCCGGAAAACCGATTTATATACAAGCCCAAATGTTACAGATAAGCCTGAAGATTTAATTTTAAAAGCATTTCGTAAATGGGAAAAAGTTGCAGTGGAAAAACATAAGAAAGACAAAGCCGAACGAGATGAAGTAACTGAATTATTTTTTCGTATTTTATTCGAATAAAAAATCTGTTTATTCCTTTAAAAGACTGATCGTATTCGACGTGACAAATTACGTCGTAAACGTGAAGAAGAAGACGCTGCAAAAAACGAATCATCACGAATTGTTGAAGTTACAGATGAAGAAGCAGAAAAAATTAAACAAGAAAGTGCTCAAGCTAAAGTATGTATACTAGTTTTATCTCTACAGATGCCATCTCAGAATTTTAGGGAAAGATAATCAAACCGATGAGAATATGGAACACAACGATATACTTGAAATATCAGGATAAAATTTTAATAGTAATCAATTGTATTTTTAGGCACAAAAATTAGCCACAGATGATGAAACTCCAGTTGAAAAACAAAGCGAACCAGCAACTACTACTGAATCGTCAGGTGATAATGATGAAACTAACAAGGATGCTAAGGTAACCATAATCAGTTTTAGTTGTTATGGATATTTGTGAAAAAATAATATTATTATCATCGATAGAAAGAAGATGAAGATGAAAATGAAGAAGATAAAGGTAAAGAAAAACCAAATAAAGGTAACGGATGGGATGGCCCTGAGTATTCGTGGACGCAAACACTTGAAGAAATCGATGTAAGTTTTTTCTTTCTAGAAAATTTCTCAATTGAATTCTCTATGAAATTAGCTACGTGTTCCAATTAAACTGAATATTCGTGTAAAATCGAAAGATATTATCGTCAAATTTGAACGCAAGGTAGATTAACCGTTAGAAAATATCTATATTTGTTTGTTCGTGCAGCATTTATATGTGGGTCTTCGTGGTCATCCACCAATTATTGACGGAGAAACATTTGCCGAATTGAAAAAAGAAGAATCTATGTGGACGCTTGATGATGGAAAAGCTATTCATATTGTTATTGAAAAAGTATGTTAATTTGCAAATATATATTTTTTCAAAGAATTATTTTAATCGAAATTTAGATTAATAAAATGGAATGGTGGAGTCGTGTAGTAAAAACAGATCCTGAAATTAATACACGCAAAGTTCAACCCGAAAATTCTAAAGTAAATCCCGAAAAAAAGTTCGATTGATTTTCATTGGTATGAAACTTTATCATTGTATATAGTTGTCGGACTTGGATGGCGAAACACGAAGTATGGTTGAAAAGATGATGTATGATCAACATCGACGTGAAGCTGGTTTACCTACCTCTGATGAACAAAAGAAACAAGATATGCTGAAAAAGTAATCAAGTCTTTTCATATGAACACAAATAAAACTAAATTTTCGATTTGCTTTGTTTATTATTAGATTTATGGAAGCTCATCCAGAAATGGATTTTACTAAATGCAAGTAAGTTTTCAGAGGACTCCATTTTTATTCAGTATAATTATTTTATTTATTCATAGATTCAATTGATCAATCTTCATTTGCTTTTAACACATAAGCCTAGCCAAGAATGATTTCATAAACTGTGATTAGTTGCATTCTGTTTTCGTATCGTTTTCTTCATTTTGAATAAAAACACAAAGAAATATATCTCTAAAAATATTATACTGATTATCATAAAGATTTATATCATGTATCACAATGCAATAACAGAATTCAATTTGATTTCTCATTAACTATTTATTCACACGAATAAATAATGGCTAGTAATACATGAATTCATGTTGATTTAAAAAACGCGAACGAATAATATGTCCTTTATCACATATCGAACTTTATAGCTCCATTTAAAGCTCTCAGCATTCGTCCCGACGAATAGAAAATAAAGTAGATAGCAATAATGGCTCATTAATCAATCTGATGGAGTGTAGGATAATGATAAAAACTATGAAAATAAATCAAACTCGAATAATTTATACTTTTTCGTTCTATCTGAAGTATCTATACTCTTGAATGATTAACTGCATATTTCCCCCGAAACTATTTGCCATTAGATCAAAGTCGATAGATTTTGTCGGAAAGCTTAAACTTTATCATATGCCCTGATAACGAGTAATATATCGTTAATTCAAGTAGCCAAACAATATCTTTTCGATTCATATCATACAAAAGAACAGAACAAATAAGCATATTCATTTTTCGTTTTCATCAAGCAACCAACTTCTATTTTACAATCATCAATGGATCCGAAGGTTCGCTCTTTCATTAGTTACAGTTTTATATTAATTTTCAAAAAATATTCATTTTAGTTCTTCTTTTTCGCTGGCTTCTTTCTTTTGGGTGCAGTTATCGTACTAATACCGTGTGTTGTGGTTATCGGTCTACGTTCCAATTGCCCTGATAAAACAACCGACTCTCCAGCAACATCATTGACGGCCTCGTTGGCTACCACACCAGCAGCCACAACGCCAGCTACATTGACAACCACTACTGCAACAATATGGAACGAAAGCGATTATCAATCCAACAGTCAATACTATCAATCCTTAACTAATTCACATTACTTCAATCAAACCGACAATCTTCGACTTGATCGTCTTTCATCGCCTCAACTTCATCCAACAGATGGTAGAAGCCTCATCTATTTGAGACGACAATATCATATGCCTGATTTACGTGGATCCACAACAACTTTACATTGGCAAGATTTACAAACCAACAAGAATGTCCAATTGACACGACCCATCTGGGGCAAACAAGACCAACAAGTAAGAGTCTATCACGTTTCTTATACCGATTTCAGTTATGTTTCTTCTCTGTAGTTCACTTGGATAGATAAAAATACGATTCTTTTTCTGTCGAATCGAGCATCGTCAGATCTCACTCAAATTTTTCAGCTGACTCTTCCTGATGATCTGTCAACCTTGAGTGGTTTCATTGAACCTACACAAATAACCAATTACTCATTGAATATTGATAATCTATTAGTGAATCGAAACGCAACACGTCTCGCTTTCAGCTGCCAAGTCTATGCGAATTTAAACATTGAACAGACGAATGCTCGAAAACAAGCCGAACTAGATAGTGGACGCACGATATATAAATTCGATAAGCTTTACATTCGGCATTGGGATGAATACTATACAGGCCTACGTAACCATCCATTTGTTGTTTCAATTAATCGACAAACAAACGGAATATTTCAACTATCAGCCAACCCTGTCGATGTACTTTTCAATATCGATAGTGATTCACCAACGAAACCGTTCGGCGATGCTAAAGCACAATGGTCATTTAGTGCATCTGGAAATTCATTTGCATTCACAAGACAACACGATGAGGATAGTTCAGTAGCTTGGACAACCAATTTAGATATATATACAGTTGATTTGAGAACAGCTGGACAACCAACTGTATGTATAACATGTGAAAATATTGCAACCGATACAGATCCATCTTATTCGCCGACCGATGAAAATCTGTTAGTCTATCGATCACATTCGGTGCCAGGTTACGAGTCTGATCAATATAAAGTGAAGTTGTACAATGGTTAGTTATATTTATGATAATGTTCGTTCTTGTTGCATGTGTTTATTTTCATTTTTCAGCTTCATTGAATACGAAAGTAACTCTTCTTGACGATTGGGATCGAAGTATTCAAGCTATGACATGGTCTCCCAATGGTCAATCTCTTTATCTCGAAATCGGTGAAGAAGCAAGCAATGTTATTTACTATTTAGTAAACATCTACACGAATCATTCAGTTGATCTTCTGATAGACAATGGTACGTCGCACAATATTCACCCTCATCCTACTCAGGAGAGAACATTTGTGTTTACATATGACACTCTTCTTCAACCGCGAAATATCTATTTGTATTCATTGGATAGTTCTATTCAGCCACTCACTAATCATAACACTGCTCTGTTGAGTAAAGTGATACTAAGTAAAGAAGCTCAAAAATTCTCTTTTATGGGTGCTAACAATGAAACAGTATGGGGATGGCATGTACCACCTGCGCATGGTACAGGCCAACCTGCTCCACTTGCTTTTCTTATCCATGGTGGTCCTCAAAGTAGCTGGTATGATGCTTGGAGTTATCGCTGGAATTTACAATCTTTTTCTGCTGAAGGTTACGCTGTGATCGCTATCAATTTTCATGGTTCTGATTCTTATGGACAGAACTTTACCAATAGTATTACAGGTGAATATGGTTCATTGCCTTACGAAGATCTCAAGTTGGGACTTGATTATGCTTTGAGAAATTTCTCTTATATCGACAGAACTCGAGTGGTAGCATTGGGTGCTAGCTATGGTGGCTATATGATAAACTGGATTGCTGGTCAACCTGAGATGAGTAGTCGCTTCAAAACTCTTGTCTGTCATAATGGTCTATTTGATATGAGATCAATGGGCTATTCTACAGAAGAGTTATTCTTCACTGAACATGATGCTGGAAACTATACTGTCTACGACAATCCTTCTGCGTATGAAGAGTATAATCCAGTGAATCACGTGGCGAATTGGACTCTACCTATGTTAATAATCGTTGGTGCTCATGATTATCGAGTACCAGAAACACAAGGAATCGGTGCATTTACAGCTTTGCAGCGTCGTAATATTACGAGTCGACTTCTCTATTTTCCTACTGAAAATCATTGGGTATTAAATCCACAGCATTCCATCGCTTGGTTTGAGGAAGTATTTAATTGGATGCGTCAACATGCAAGCTAAATATCTAATATTCGGTTCATAGGAAAGATTTGTTTCTTTGTGACACTAAATGTTTGAGACTGCTTAAAATATTGTAAACCTTGATGATTGCGTGATTTTTTAAGATTCAATAAACTTATCATGTTTGGCTTGATATAATACTTATTTCTTTGATTTATAGATATTATGGCGATATCTGATGGAAACAAATAGTCTCAAAGCTATTTATATGCTGATTGAAGTATTGACAATTGACTGACATATTTGAAGAGAAATTGTCTCTTTTTTTCGTCGTATTCAGTTAGATTAGTCAGGTGAAGAATGTTTTTAGTTGCAGCTTCATCAATGACATCATATCAAAACGATTATAAAGCTATATCTTTTTTTTATACAGATGATACTTTGGGGAAGTGCTTCTGGAGGCAGAGAATGCTGGTCTGGTGTAGTGGTATTGTGTCAAATTAATTAAGTTCCCCAAATATATAGGCTTACCATCTATTAGTAATAGACGCTATTTGACGTCACACGATATAGTCAGAATGTTATCAAATCAACAATCTCAAGGAAACACTTCTTAAGAACTTGCCCAAGTTTGTTTTATGACTGGTAACAACCGGAGCTCAATACAGTACATATAGTAACGAAATGCTTGCTCAATCTCAGAAATAAAAAAAACTAAATGAAGCAAACTTCGATAAAATTAGGAAAAAGATAAATACTGAAAAATTAAAAATTCTTTTATAGACAATGATCAATTGCTTTGACTTTTTATTCAGTATCCATCGATTATTGCTCATGTGTTCATAGTCATAATTAAATTATACTAGTAGAATTAGTTGAATAGAAATTAATCAGATTTATTCGTGCTTATAATAATATATTTTACATGATTAGTAATCTTTTCTTAAAAACTTGTTTATCACAAAGAAGCTTCATGACAAACGGAAAATAGGTAAATAGGCCAATGAATAACTCTTATGGGTGTCTGATTCTTTCAGAATATTTCTTGTTAGATATGTTTCCAACAAATATTGATTCTGCGTACAGTTTCAAAGACTTATCACTAAGTATAAACGATATTGTTCTTCTTATTAATAGGATAGTTTTAATACACTAATAAAATACTTAGTATCTTCACATTGTTGATGAAATTCGATATCTTGATGAATTTAGTTTTCTTCAGTGAGTCGGCGAATATCTCTTTCAACTCTCTGTCTATTTAAGCGGTTAGCCGGAAGAAGTTTCTCATGCATAGCCAAGGCGCGTTGATAACACTCAAGTACCACTTTTCGTTCGTTTTTATGTTCATAACAATATGCAATATTATTCAAACTCGAAGTAATATCAGCATGGCCAGACCCAGGTCGAATATTACGGTGACCTGATACGATCGTAAACGACCGTATACGGCAACGTTTGCTACCGTTTTATAACGTTTCCGGCCGTAAATCGCCGTAATTCGACGTTTTGGAATGCACTGTATTACGGCCGTATTTCGCCGTGTCGTAAACGGTTACTAACGGCCGTAATGCGGCCGAATATTTCAGTATCCGACCGTATACGATCGTTTATGGCACGATGCAAAAACGACCGTAATACGGTGCATACCAAACGGCCGTGTACGACACAAGTTGATCGACCTGGGCGATGGATAAAATTTCTCTCGAATTTTCAATGCTTGCAGAAAATAATTCAGGGCTTCATCGTACTTTTTTGATTCCTAAGAATAGCACCGATATTGTTGAGGACCCAAGCTGAATCTTTGATTCTTGCTAGTTTATCTTTCATCATCAGATCATATGCACGATTATAATATTCTCGAGCTTGACTCCATTCACATTTAAAAGAAAGAGCTCGGCCAATATTAAATTCAACCCAAGCACAATCTTCTTTCGGTGAATCATTCAATAATTGTTCAAAGTATTTTTTTGATTTATCATATTCACCTAAGTCACATAATAATCTTCCAACTACAATCGAAACGCTAAGTTCTTCTGTTTCTCTTTTTGTTAGTTCAAGAAAATCTTCCGTTATTTTTTGTCCTTCATTTGATAGAGTCATTTCAATAATATTTAATGATTCCTGTTTTTCAATGGATTCAATCAGAAAACAAGCGTTTAAATCAAATAAAACTTCTGCTTCTTTTCTATATTCACTAAATTCACTAATATCAGCAAAAATTATATTTCTATTAATATGCTTAATATCGCATTGAATATGAAAAAGAACAGGAATAACATCAGTTCTTTTCGTAGATTTCTTCGCCAAGTGCACTGCTAATGATTTTCTCCAACTTGTAGATAAGCATCCATTAACTGAAATAAGTTTACCTTGATTTTCTTTTAAGTTCTCAAATTCTTCCTTATCAAGTTTAGTTCCTCGATAAACATTCAGGATTTTACCTTTCGATGATAGAATCTTCTCATGTTCTTGCTGCAAAGCTGTCGAAAGATCACCAATGAAAAATCGAAATATGTATAAGAGATCAACATCTTCTGTTCTTAATGCTTTATTTATCAATTTATAAATAAACGACTGTTTTGAATACCAAAGTAGTGCATATTCTGACCGATACGTTTTTTCAAATTCTTCAATTAGTTTTATTTCGATTTTATTGCCACGATAGTAGTCTTTGCATATTCGAACCATTTGTTGTTTTGCCTGTTGACTTCGTGGAAGATGACCAACGGCATAATTAAATAGTTGGAACCAAAGAAATGCTGTTGACTTTTCATGTTGATCAAAAAATGAAAAAGTTTGAATTTGTCTATTGACGAGATCGACTTGTTCTTTAATCGATTGGCATAAATCATCAAGTTCGACATAGATTCCAATGATTTTTGAATATTCATTTAATAAATGCTCATGACGTTCTTTCTTCATACAGAAAATAAAAACTGAGTCAATTTGATGGCAAGAAGCTGTTCGAGAGAGAACATGCGATGCTTTCGATCCTGATGTAATTAAGAGAATTTTTTCGTCATCGATTGATTGAATATATGTGACACATTGGTCAAGGTCAGTCAAAAAAAATGACGTAATCGTTGATTGCACGAAGTTGTTCGAGTAACTGCCTAATTCGACTTCAAATACAATTGTTTGTGAACTTACCGTGCTTTTTCGCGTTTCTGAATTTGAAAAGTACATTTTTTCCAATAGACATATACTCAAGATCCTGTAAAATTTTACCAATATTTTTAGGTGTAAACATAAGAATGAAATGTAGTGAATTTTCATAAACAAAAATAGGAAACGACAATCAAAGATTGATATTTTCTTGAGGCTGTTTCAGAAATATCATAAACCTAATCACAACCCTTTTCGTGTTTTTCAGTTTATTTGATCAATCAAAACGAGAATACATTTCAAACGAAGGAAAATAATGATAGAAATCTTGCGAATTATCAAATTGTTCAATAGCAATTAGTTTTTTCACCTTAGCACAATTGCGTCGTGTTTCTTCTCTTGTAAAGTTGTTTGTTACAGTTTTTAAGTAACGATAGCTCACTTCCAATTCGGTTAGACAAGGTACAGATGCCTTTGTTTCATCTAGAAATTGCTCAAGATAATCTGTAAGACTACAGATCACATCAAGTGAAGTAAGATGCGGATATTCAATTATTGAATATGATTGACTATGGTCAGATGATAATGTAAGGTTTGACGATAGCTGCGGTTGGATATTGAGAATGTGTAAATGTTTCAGTAACGGAAACGATCGGGCGATTCGAACAAAGAATTCATGTCCAAATGCATCATGATCTTCCACCAGTAAATATGTAACATAATTGAATACAATATTTGGAAATATATTGCCAAGATATCTCAAATAGCCAAATGTAAAAGGCAGTGAGAAAATTGAGCATTCAGCTGTGCATCTGCTAAGATAATTGACGATAGTAGCCGTATTGTGTTGTCCGATATTTATCAGTGTTTGTTGGATACGTTCAGGAGATAAATTATGAAATAAATCACCACTGGCAACTTAAGTAGTAATATAGAAAGTGAACGAATGAAGTTGTGGCATATAAACAAGAATATCTTCTTGAATGCAAGTGCCATCGATGATTCTATTTTGACCTTTTATACAAAGATATAAAGTTAAGTTTTCCAGATAAGGCATACGACGAAGAAGCGATGGTATTTGTTCATATTGTTGAAATCGAAAGTAAGATTTTAATGAGAAACATTTCAGATTCGGTAACATGTTTTAGAAAAAAGAAAAATTCTTTCGTTACTCTAAGACCAAATCATAAGCATCATGACTTGTTACGATAATAATATTTTCTAGTCAACTTGTCTTTTTTCGAAATATATTTTCTGTCTAGGCTACGTTACCGAGCTAACTCCGACGTATGGGAAAAATTGTTTTTTCGGACCGTCAGCAAAGCTGATAACTGGATGTGTCTGTCTTTCGATTTTCTAATAGGTCATTTTGTATTTCCGGGTTCATGCAACGAATATTGCCTCTACCTCCAGGTTTCTAGGAATGAAATTCTCGATTGATACTACAAGTTCTGTATATTAAAAATTGCAAATAACAAATTCATCAGTTTGCTTTTGAAACTTTAGAGACAAGTGAAAATTTTAGCGAGAATTCCTATCATATATCAATTATGAGAAAGACTGGGTAGCTACTAGAGAAAAAGATTCATTCTATTCAATGTTTATAATCATTCATATATCATAATATGTAATCAATGATAAAGCAACGATTAACTCCATGACTCATCTGACAAATCATTTTATTATGATTATCCCTACCAATAAATTCCAATCTTTTGATCCAATCCAAATTCTTCGTATTCACAAATGTAATGTCAATCACTTATAGAGGTGTACACTTTAACTTTAACCGAGCGTAAAGTTTAAAGTTGTGTAAAGCCATTCTTGAACGCTTCGTTTTGGAGTTTTCATCTGTTGCAGTCTCACAAGCATGACTCAATAACTTTATGCAGTAAAAGCATTAAAAAGAAGCATCTAAAGGCAACTTTAAACTTTACGGTTAAAATAAAGTTAAAGCGCCACCCCTAATCACTTATACATCCGTACTTATCTGATACTTTTCACTATTGGTATAACATTAAAGAAAAAATGCAGCGAAGTAGTAAGTATCTGTATCTCAAAAGTGACATCATCATCTATGAAAATTTGCCGTGTTGTGAACAATCGCTGAAGATCTGTCTATGGAATAGACATTAACATTAAATGTGGTCAATTGCTTGAGTCGGCCATCAAGTAAATAAAGACAATCATCAAAATTTTTCACCATGATAGACAAATGGGCAAGAATTGAAGAGTAAAAAGTAGTCGCCGGTAAATCACAAAGTGATAAACTTGGACATAGCATAACATATGGTCCAATAATATTCAGATGTGTTAATTTTTTGAAGAAATTCAAGATGTGTGCATATACATTTCTGGTATATTCTTTCAATGAACCTACTCTTGCGCTCTTGTCATCATTAACAAGAATAAGGCTGGTAATTTGCTGTTGGAAAACAGATCGCAACGATGATTCATCTAAAGAAAAGACAACGAAACTTACAATAGACCGTTCTATCTAACATTTTATCTAAATCATGAAGTACATGTTAAGTGTTTACCTGTAAAATATTTTGAAACTATTTGTTGTTCGAAATTGAAGAGTTTAAATTCAGTTAGATTTGGATAAACGGCAGCAAGAAGAATACGTTCCAAGAGAACTGGTTCAAGTATGAAACATTTGATATTGTGATTAATTCTTGGCAATATGTTGATGCAGTATCGATCAATTAAGGAAATATCATCCGTATATGTGAAATTGAGAGTATTAGTGAACATTTTTTCTTGCGCGAAAATGTCAAGTGGTCCATTATTAATATCCACTAACGAATAAAGAACATCAATATTATTCAATTTTCTCAAAATGATAAGTAATATTTCATTAGGGAAATCCAGAAGATGAATATTAGATCGATTCATCTTTTGTTGTATCTGCGACGCTTTTGTGAAAGACAAACCTATATATATATGTTGACTATTTTCTTCCAATGATTTCTCTCTGGATAAAATAGAACAGGTGAGCTTATTCATAAAAAATAAAAAAAATGTACAGTCCAATTCAATGATTTGTCACTGGCTGCCGTTTTTTCTTTCCGTCAATTTTGTATGTGCAAAGGGCAAGTTTATTATGTTCATTGGAACGAAAATGGAAGAAAGAACATATTTCTTTTGTGTATGGAACCAATTGAGTTTCAATCGTATAGTATCTGTTAACTTGTGAAATATCACATAATAAGGATGATGATGGCGAAAGGCGTTTTCGATTTACAGGATGTTTCAATTATTGCAGTAGAACCATTTTAATAGGAAGTCTCTACGATCGGATAAAGCTTTTTTTCGCAATATCTTTGTCGACTTTTCGAGTGGCATCCATAGATCATGAGAAGAGCGGTCAAAGCCAAGGATGTCACTCTCTATTTCTCAAAATTCGAGTCCTGAAGCTAGTTTGTGTTTTTAGAAACAAAATCAGAAACTGGCATGTGTACACAAAGCTCGAAGATTCGATGGAAAAATATCGTGAAATACATTAGGGTGCAAAAGAAATTGCCGTTAGTGTTTGCTAAGCAATCGCTCTGGGTACAATGAATATTGAAAGTTCCTTTTTCGTAAATAGTTTACATACCACAGAGTGCGCAAATATATTAATCAATAACTAGTCCTGGTTTCCCTCAGTCAATGAACAAGGAAATATCAATCCCTATCACTTCGCTCAAAATAACGTACACTTATTTTCCCGATGCCTATGAATTCTGTTGAAGCGTAAAAGATGCATTTGGAGGAAAGTGAGAGTAGCTACGAACCTAATTTCAGATGAAGACTGAGTAGCTACAGTTTCCGCTCTATAATGCACTGCCCTGATTTCTAGGACAGGAAACAATCTACGCTTCAATGTAACCCTTATTTGAACCCGCAGACAAATACTGAGCATTATTGACTGAAACAAATTTCATCTATTGACCAAGACATACCTGCTCTCAAAATTTCAAGTCGATCGTATAAGTCATTATCGAGAAAGTGAGAAAATCGGGTGCAAGTGTCATTTGCACAGATAAGTGTGTAGACCGTGATCATACATTTATTTTTAAGATCAGTCGCGCTTGGAGCTCATTTACATTTTGCTTTATTCTATGAACAACGTGCTTTGGTAACAAGACGATTTCGACAGCTGAACGATTGTCCTAGTTGAAGGAATGCAATATGATCATTCAATATGCAAAACAAACAATGAATACTCAAATCAGTATTTCTATCGGCCCACAGAATGACACTTTTGAAGAAGTCTCTCTTATATTGCATTCTATAGTATCGCCTTGATTGCCGGGGAAGACTTCGTAAGAATTCATTCTTACGTTTAATAGATATGCCTCGAGAAAAAGCATATATGCATCGGCAATTTGTTTTGAACTCCACTGTATATCTTTGAAATATAATCAGATATTTCTTTTTACCTTAGCTTTGGAACAAAAACGTCGAAATATTGCCACAATTTATTTAAATATCGTAAATCTATTCTTGAATATTAGATTAACTTTTAATAATTACGGACGAAAAAAGAAAAATCATTAGGCATTTTTTTTGACAAGCATAGAGATTATGAAAGAAATGTGTTTGAAACGTGGCGATAAAAGAAACGTGCTTCGTCATTTGTATAGTATTTCGTTCAACGGAAAGTACACACTTACGTTAGTGCAATCAATGCCAATAGATTCGAGAGAAAAATCTTTAGAACCTCTATAGCGCTAATTCACATGGTATAACCAATATAAACAATGAATTGAGCTTTCAAAAAGAAAGTTATTTGTTATTTATCTGCTATTTATAACAAATAACTATCGAAACAGTGGTATTGTTATAAATAACAACAAGATAACAATAACGTCTCACCTCTAAAAAGAGGTTCATTAAATTTAAAGAGTTTTTTATTGGTGTATGAAAACGTGCAGATATCTCTGAATTAGTATGTAGTAGTTTTTTTCGCGAAGAAACTGAAGCGTTTAAATACGCTAAAGGCATAAAAAAATATTTTATTGAACAAAATAAAAGCCTGAAGTTTATCTTAGTTCTGAAGAATAACTTGAAAATAGATTATTTATATTGTTTTAAATATGTTTTTCTGTTTCGCATTAAAACGAAAACGAAAAAGATTAAATAAAATTAGGGATGTGCAGTGTCGGTTTACTGAGCACTGACTACACCGACAGTATGCTCAGTGAAGCACTGACTACACTGTCATCAGTGTCACTGATACACTGATTTCACTGACACCGATTTCACTGAGAAGACCGAAAATATTCAGTCAGTGTTCACTGAAGCACTGAAGTTAAGTGAAGCACTGAAATTCGGTGCACTGACCGCACCGGCATCGGTGTTTAGTGGAGCACTGGCACACAGACAACTTCTGATTAATTAAAGTAATATGGACTACTTTCATCTTCTGTTGACGAATCCACCAGAGTCAAACATTTAAAATGAATTTTGCCAATTTTCATATGAATCCGATCTAAGCTACGTCGTTGTGCAGAATAAATACGTAGATTTGATTAACATTCTAGTGTCTCTAGATAAGATTATGATATTCTTGACAAAAGTAGACGTGCGTATTTCACTATCATCTATTGTAAACTACCATTAGCATTGGCAAAGATATATACTTTGACGGATGCAGTGGCTCAGTGTTTCACTGAACACCTATATCGGTGCGGTTAGTGCACCGAATTTCAGTGCTTCACTGAGCTTCAGTGCCTCAGTGAACACTGACTGAATATTTTCGGTGTTCTCAGTGAAGTCGGTGCCAGTGAAATCAGAGTGTCAGTGACACCGATGACAGCGTAATCAGTGCTCCACTGAGCATACTGTCGGTGATATCAGCCCCAGTTTTTCGGTAATTACACTGACACTGCACATTCCTAAATAAAATTTATATTCAATGTCTAGAGTGCATCGATAGGTCATTAGCAATTTTTCATGTTGAAACGATATGGAAACGGAAAAAGCCTGTTTAATTACTCATTGAGAAGCTTTTCAAAACAAAACAGTAAAACGAAAACAAAAATTCAATAGTTTTAAAAGTCTGAATGATATGCTTTGATAGATAAAACTAATATATGTAAAAATAGAGCACAAATAATCTTTATCAATTTTGTGATACAGTCATTGTCATATGACAATTGGATGAAAAATTTATTTATAAGCTTTAAAATCCTTATGGAGGACGTTCCTTCCTAAATAAAGCCTGGCCAAGACATTAATTACGCTCAGCAATCAATTTCAAACATCTTAGAAATCAACTATCTATTACCTATTTCAAAAAGTGAAACATAACTTTTTGCAGTTCGTTGAAGTAAATGCATCGTTATAATTACTTGTATACTTCCACATGCGGTTGAACATAAATTCATCTGGAAAACTTTGCTTTTGGTTTTCAGCAATAAAGTCAATTGACAGAAATTCATTTACAAACGATTTCTCACATTTAGACAACGCATTTCAATAGGAAACTGTTTATAGAAGTTTTCAGAAATTCTTTATCTGTTTGCTTCAATACGAAAATCATTTTGATTTCCAAATAAAGCAAATCGCTTTCTCAACACGATATATTTAATACAGCAAACAAAACTAATTACTATTTAAGTGGAAAATTTTATTAAAAATTGAAAGCAAATAATATTTGTATCAATTAGTTACTTTCACGCAAAAAGATAGAATTAATCTTTACTATATTTCATTCAAAAAATAGAACCACAACTTTATTAAACGCTTTTCTATGATTTTTGCTCAGTATATACTATAAGAAATTCAAGATAGAGAAAATATAAACACTCACAATCACTGGCAAACGCTCTAACAAGAGCAATCTTCACGTCGTTCAAAAATTCGGACTGTTCAATGTATTGTTTGAGGAATTTAGTTTTTACCAGCATGTCAGCGGATATTCCTCTAGATCTGGATGGCCAATAGAATAAAAATTCTCCTGCATAGCTAAGGCATGCTGATAATAATCAACGGTCATACTATTCAAAGGGGATACAATATCAGCAATGAGCAACAGGATGACACCTCTCTTTAATGCTTAAAGCTTGTTGATAGAAGCCCAAAGAAAGAAAAACACTCTACGTTCTTCTGTTTCTTTTTTTTTGTTGATTAAAGAAAATCTTCCCTTATTTTTTGTCGTTCATTTGAATAAATGTTTAACTTCAATAGATTCAACAAGAAACAAGTGTTTCAATCAAATAAAACTTTTCCTCTTTAGGATATTCACTAAATTCATTGATATCAGCATAAATAAGATTTTTATTGATTTCCTTATACGAGTTGATAAATATTTATTGGTTGAAATAAGTTTATCGTAGTTTTATTTTAATTCATTAATTTTTTCTTTACTAAGTTTAGATGCTCGATAGAATAGTTTTTACATAACTTCTACATATTTTAAATGTAACGAAAATTCTATTGAATGAATCAAAAGATTTCGCAAAAAATAAAATTTCTTAATCGTTAACTCTTTACTGAAGACTCACATTGATTTTTTGATTACTTTAAATGATACGACAAATTCATTCCACTTTAGTCAGAAAATCCAATGATTATGGGTTGGCTTTTTTCTGCATAAAAGGATAATTCGTAATGTCTGGTATACGAAGTAAAAGACGAAATAAAAGTAAGAATATGCTCAAGTTTGTTGATAAATACCATTGTTAAATTGTAGATTTTTAAAAATATTTTTCAAAGGAGACTTTTTCTGAAGATACAAATTCAATCATAGTTTTCTGAAAAATTTCAGTAACAAATCACTTGAGAAGCCACCGATGAAATATCTCCTGCCAGAAAACGATTGTGTCATATTAATCAAATTGCCATGCAGTATTTTTTCCAAGAACACTAAATCAAGAGTATTTTTCGAATGTTTACATTCGCCTTTGAATAACTCGAAGCCTCATTCGAAGACTTAGTTTAATTTTTGAAAACGGTTTTATACAGCCATTATTCTGTTTCTCCTAAACAGATGTATTAAGGCAGTTTATGAGCGCAACGGTGCCGTTGTCTGTTTCGTCAATCGTCGATCTACGCTAAGTTGTTCACGTTGACGAATAATACTGTTGGCCAAAGTTTTTAACCCGCCGAAAATGATAGTATCGTGACAGACGTATGTGAATCAGAATGGTGGTTAGAATCAATCGTAAAAAAGCCATTGAAGTAGCTCTCATTTCGACTGAATCTTCAACAAACCCTGTAGTCATTTTCTAGAATTAATCATTCTGCTTTTTAACAACAATCTAACGAATACGTCAAGACATTTATAGGGAACTCAAACATAAATTTACTTCACAACTGTTGAAACAATTTTTATAACTTCTCAAACATCGAGCATGACACTTCTTTATCAACTGCTAAGTACCAATTCCAATGATCGTAAAGAGTAGATAGGAATAATCGCACATTAACCCATAAAGACGTATTTATGATAATTGAAAATAGATAAAAAAAGCAATTTCAAGCATGATTTATAGACTTTTTTTATCATTGAAACAATCACATCATACGCCACAATCCTCTGCTTAGTTACAGCGCATACTTAAACTGTTTGGCTAAAATCAATACACCTTATGGATCATGATAAGATTGGCCTCATACTCCACTTAAGAGCGTTCTACGATCAGTTCAAGTAGACACATAATATCTTTTCAATTTATATGATACAAAAGAAGAGAACAAATAAGCATTTGCATTCTTCGTTTTCATCAAGCAACCAACTTCTATTTTACAATCATCAATGGATCCGAAGGTTCGCTCTTTCATTAGTTACAGTTTTATATTAATTTTCAAAAAATATTCATTTTAGTTCTTCTTTTTCGCTGGCTTCTTTCTTTTGGGTGCAGTTATCGTACTAATACCGTGTGTTGTGGTTATCGGTCTACGTTCCAATTGCCCTGATAAAACAACCGACTCTCCAGCAACATCATTGACGGCCTCGTTGGCTACCACACCAGCAGCCACAACGCCAGCTACATTGACAACCACTACTGCAACAATATGGAACGAAAGCGATTATCAATCCAACAGTCAATACTATCAATCCTTAACTAATTCACATTACTTCAATCAAACCGACAATCTTCGACTTGATCGTCTTTCATCGCCTCAACTTCATCCAACAGATGGTAGAAGCCTCATCTATTTGAGACGACAATATCATATGCCTGATTTACGTGGATCCACAACAACTTTACATTGGCAAGATTTACAAACCAACAAGAATGTCCAATTGACACGACCCATCTGGGGCAAACAAGACCAACAAGTAAGAGTCTATCACGTTTCTTATACCGATTTCAGTTATGTTTCTTCTCTGTAGTTCACTTGGATAGATAAAAATACGATTCTTTTTCTGTCGAATCGAGCATCGTCAGATCTCACTCAAATTTTTCAGCTGACTCTTCCTGATGATCTGTCAACCTTGAGTGGTTTCATTGAACCTACACAAATAACCAATTACTCATTGAATATTGATAATCTATTAGTGAATCGAAACGCAACACGTCTCGCTTTCAGCTGCCAAGTCTATGCGAATTTAAACATTGAACAGACGAATGCTCGAAAACAAGCCGAACTAGATAGTGGACGCACGATATATAAATTCGATAAGCTTTACATTCGGCATTGGGATGAATACTATACAGGCCTACGTAACCATCCATTTGTTGTTTCAATTAATCGACAAACAAACGGAATATTTCAACTATCAGCCAACCCTGTCGATGTACTTTTCAATATCGATAGTGATTCACCAACGAAACCGTTCGGCGATGCTAAAGCACAATGGTCATTTAGTGCATCTGGAAATTCATTTGCATTCACAAGACAACACGATGAGGATAGTTCAGTAGCTTGGACAACCAATTTAGATATATATACAGTTGATTTGAGAACAGCTGGACAACCAACTGTATGTATAACATGTGAAAATATTGCAACCGATACAGATCCATCTTATTCGCCGACCGATGAAAATCTGTTAGTCTATCGATCACATTCGGTGCCAGGTTACGAGTCTGATCAATATAAAGTGAAGTTGTACAATGGTTAGTTATATTTATGATAATGTTCGTTCTTGTTGCATGTGTTTATTTTCATTTTTCAGCTTCATTGAATACGAAAGTAACTCTTCTTGACGATTGGGATCGAAGTATTCAAGCTATGACATGGTCTCCCAATGGTCAATCTCTTTATCTCGAAATCGGTGAAGAAGCAAGCAATGTTATTTACTATTTAGTAAACATCTACACGAATCATTCAGTTGATCTTCTGATAGACAATGGTACGTCGCACAATATTCACCCTCATCCTACTCAGGAGAGAACATTTGTGTTTACATATGACACTCTTCTTCAACCGCGAAATATCTATTTGTATTCATTGGATAGTTCTATTCAGCCACTCACTAATCATAACACTGCTCTGTTGAGTAAAGTGATACTAAGTAAAGAAGCTCAAAAATTCTCTTTTATGGGTGCTAACAATGAAACAGTATGGGGATGGCATGTACCACCTGCGCATGGTACAGGCCAACCTGCTCCACTTGCTTTTCTTATCCATGGTGGTCCTCAAAGTAGCTGGTATGATGCTTGGAGTTATCGCTGGAATTTACAATCTTTTTCTGCTGAAGGTTACGCTGTGATCGCTATCAATTTTCATGGTTCTGATTCTTATGGACAGAACTTTACCAATAGTATTACAGGTGAATATGGTTCATTGCCTTACGAAGATCTCAAGTTGGGACTTGATTATGCTTTGAGAAATTTCTCTTATATCGACAGAACTCGAGTGGTAGCATTGGGTGCTAGCTATGGTGGCTATATGATAAACTGGATTGCTGGTCAACCTGAGATGAGTAGTCGCTTCAAAACTCTTGTCTGTCATAATGGTCTATTTGATATGAGATCAATGGGCTATTCTACAGAAGAGTTATTCTTCACTGAACATGATGCTGGAAACTATACTGTCTACGACAATCCTTCTGCGTATGAAGAGTATAATCCAGTGAATCACGTGGCGAATTGGACTCTACCTATGTTAATAATCGTTGGTGCTCATGATTATCGAGTACCAGAAACACAAGGAATCGGTGCATTTACAGCTTTGCAGCGTCGTAATATTACGAGTCGACTTCTCTATTTTCCTACTGAAAATCATTGGGTATTAAATCCACANTGGAAACTATACTGTCTATGATAATCCTTCTGCGTATGAAGTCTATAATCCAGTGAATCACGTGGCGAATTGGACTCTACCTATGTTAATAATTGTTGGTGCTCATGATTATCGAGTACCAGAAACACAAGGAATCGGTGCATTTACAGCTTTGCAGCGTCGTAATATTACGAGTCGACTTCTCTATTTTCCTACTGAAAATCATTGGGTATTAAATCCGCAGCATTCTATCGCTTGGTTTGACGAAGTATTTAATTGGATGCGTCAACATGCAAGCTAAATATTTCTCATGCATCCATCATTTGCTGTGTGAGCTTCAAACTAGTTAGTGCTTTCGTGAAATAATTGTTTTTTGCATTGTATCAACAAAATATCTATATACGCTGATAATATTTTTCTTTTTGCTGCATCGAATAAAACCTTTTTTTTATTTGAGAAAAAACTGTTTTCTAGTTGATACTATCTAGCATGATTCCAGTCACCAGTTAGATATGGTGGTATGAAAAACTAATAAAAACATTTTTATTTCTTTAGAAGTGATCTGGCGAATGTAACACGTGATTTTACGATTTTTTTATCTGCAATACACTGGTTGTAGATCTATATATTGCTGAGTGTTGAAAGAAATCCAAATTGATACCCACATCCTTACACGCTTCGTTTTTCTGATATAGTATAAGATTCAGCTTGAGGTAAAAATTTCTAATGTTTTTTGTTTTTTTATAGTATTGGTATTTAATTTATTTATCGCGTGAAATGTTGTATGTGCTGCCTTGTGTTTCTCTTCGTAGTAGCTTAACATCAATACTTATTTGCTGATTGCAACAGAGAGCGAATCAAATAAATCGATCTTTCACAAAAAATACAGTGAGACTCTTGATAAAAAGAAATTTTTTCTTTTCCTTCTGTGTTTTCGACATTTGCGTATTTCAGAATACATGTGAGAATCGAGTAGAGTTATACCAGGACAAAAGGGAGTAGCGTTGTTTACAACAGAATCAACGGAAAAAAATAAGCACATGATTCATCAGTACCAATTATTTTCCTAGCCTATCGGCAAATGAGAATAAAGCGTAGGAGCTGTTCGAATAACGTTATTCAGTTGTGTGACATCCACGCCAACTACAATAATAACTTCTACTCGAAGATAAAAGATGCAAGAAGCTAGTGAAGTGAAATTATCTCAGCGTAAAACTACACTTGAAGATCTGTCAGCTGAACTTTTTTTCGAACTATTCGATTTTTTCTATTTTACTGAATTATACAATACATTCGCTCATTTAAATCAACGAATCGATGGTTATTTAGCTCAATTACCGAATATATACTTAGATTTGTTGTCAACAAAACATAAATTGATCACAAAATTCAATGATCATCAACTACAATGTGTAAAATCACTGAAACTTATGATATTTGCAGAAGAGAAGCAACATGAAAAGCATGAAGCAGTTTTTTATTCAATATCCCATAAATTATTTCAACAATTACATTCACTAACCTTACGACTAATTATTTCCACTACGGATCTTCGTAGTATCATCGATCAATTACCATTGTTACCATGCTTAACATTTTTAAATATTACGTTTGATTTATATCAATTTAAAATAACGATAGATGATCTCCGATATGCGTGTAAAACAATATTTCTTTCTTGTACTAAATTAAAAGCATTGAAATTAGCCCTAATGGATCACACAGAACAACACAGAAGAACTCACAATGTGCCACTATTTAATCAGTCGATAACAAGTCATCTTGAATATTTAGATATCTATCAACTCTATTTCGACGAATTCGATTGTATTTTGTCATCATTATTTTTACCACGAATAAAATCTTTGACTGCAACAATTTATGACAATCCAGTACAACGAGATTTTCCCAACGAGAAATTAACATTTGATTTTTTAACTAATCTTGTAGTACATTTCAATTGGGAATTTACATTCACATATCTTGAATCAATTTTTAAACGAACACCAAATTTAAAATCATTTATTATTACATCTTCTTCAATAACAATAATCGATGGTCCAAAATGGCAATATTTTTTATCTAAATATTTATTAAAAGTTATAAAATTTCATTTGCATGCAAGCGATTGGGAACAAAGAAGTTGGCTGATGAGAAACGAATACACGGACTTTCAAACATCAACTTATTGGCGAAGAGAACGAAATGGTAATGTTCACATGGGATACCAAGAAACTCTCGATGAAGAAGGCAACGGAATTAATTCCAAATCTGTTACGTTTACATCGATGAAAGTTAAAAGTTGGCCAAAAAAGTGTTTATATTGTTACTGATAATAGAAAAAGGGATTCATCCTTATTCGTTCATATTTAATATCATATGGTGAAATTAAAAAAATATTCTGCCATATAATTGTAACATATACCCTATTGTGGATAATTTTTATTATTATTTATGAATAATAAGTAGAAAAATGTTTTATCAAACAGTGAAGCAAGCGTACAGTTGGAACTCTCAATATTTACTCTCGATAAGAGAATTTATTGGAGTCAATGTTAGTTAGCAAATGATTTGAAATAAGAAAGCAGTGAAAATAAATTACTCAATCTACAACAGTTAACCATTTAATTAGAATTTCAGAGAGTTGAAATCTTTATTATCTTCCGATTGTACTATTGCGGACTGTGGCGTCCTCTCAAGGATGCTACTATTCATTTTAGCAATTTGTAAGAATATGATTCTTTTTCATTTACTAAAACTCGAAATGAATTCAATTAATCCAATGGAATAGATATCTTTCAAAAACTTTCAACTCGATTGAGTACACTACACAACCAATAGTATATATTAACTCGAAAATATAGGTTTTACGCAAAAATTCGTTTGCTGCTACTATACTAAAAACGTGCTATACAAGTATTTATTATGAATAATACAAACAAATTCACTTATTGTTATTTGATTTCAGATAAAATGCCAAAACGTAAAACCGGACAACGGAAAAAGGCAGAAAAACAAAAAGAACGACAGAAATTATTGCAGTCAGCTTTTCACAATAAACAATTAGTTGAATGGCCTTGCAATTTCCTTATGGTTTGTATAAATTATTTTGTTTTTTGAACAGGTCAAAACTTCATTTATTAATAATAATTCTCATCTTTACGATCAGGATTGTGATAAATGCAAAAAACAGCAGAAAAATCGTGCATTTTGTTATTTTTGTCAAGCAATACAAGCACTACCTGTATGTGCACAATGCGGTATGCTATTCAAATATATGCATAACTTGATCATGCATAAATTAATTATAGGAAAACAAAAGTGTCTATCGAAAACGGGCGATTGTCTTATTAAACATGGCACTGTACATGCTACAGGTCTTCAATTAGTGGTAAGATGGTAAGCTAACTATGCTTAATTCTGTTCTGTATATTGATTTATTTTTAGGGTGCTATTTGCGACTTTTGCGAAGCATGGATATGCCATTCAAAAAAATGTCTAACAACGCATCCATGTCGATGTCCATTACAAAATGGTGATTGTACTGAATGTAATCGAAGTGTTTGGGAACACGGTAGGAAAGAATTTATGAAAATAAAACAAATTGCATTTTAAAAAGAATAGGTGGCCGAGTTTTTCAATGTTCGTTTTGTGCTCAATCACTTTGTGAAGATGATCAATTTGAACACCAAGCATCTTGCCAAGTTTTAGAATCAGAAAACTTTAAATGTAAGAATGAGTGAATGATGATGTGCCGGATTTAAACTTTCGAGAAAGAAGATCCATTGAAAGTAGAACAAAAGATTTAGAGCACTTTTAACTTCATAGGCAATATCTTAATTCGTAGGAGAAGAAAATAGTCAACTAATTGAAAGAACTTTATATCAGTCTGTTAACTGTGATTGATAGGATTTCGGAAATAAGCTGATTCAACACAGGGAATAATTTTAAGCAAAGGAGGGTATGTTGCAGTTTTCTAACTCTTGCATGATTTTTGGTTTATGCTTGCGATTAGGTTTAATAAATGGCATCGAGATAAAGAAGAAAGATTCGTACTCATTTAACCATTTACTATGAATATTTTTACACAATTTTCATTGAAATTTTAAAGAGAGCTTTATTAAACAGGACACCTTGAGAGATTTCTTTTTATAGACTTCACTGTTTATTTTCTAACCAATTGCGTTCTTTTAGTGATAATAAAAGTCTCTGTCTGAATCAGTTTATTATTTCGTTGTATTTCAGCTTGAAATCGAGACGGACATCCGAGTTTATTCTCAGATGTAATCATAGAATTTTGTGTTTACATTTCAATATTTATTAATAATCATACTATTTAGGTGCATCTTGCAGTAAACATGGTCAATGGTCATGCTTAAGGTAAACAAATTTTTAAATTTCTGAAAACATAATTTCGTAGAGAAACTGTTTAAACAGATGTAAAGTATGTTACTGTGATGAACATATTAAACGACGTGGCTTTAAATACACTCAAGGTGAAGCATATCCGTGTCCAAAATGTAACTTTCCAACTAAGGAAACCAAAGATTTAGCAATGTCGAGTAAAAACAAATATTTTTATGTTTTTGAAATAATTATTTTTATTTTTTCCTAAGCTCGTGCTTACGATTATGGAAGAAAAGGTCAAGATGACTTTGAAGAAGAAGATGACGGTTTAGGTATTACTAATGGTTCTGATTATTTTACGCGTGGAGAAGGTAGTCGAAATTTTACATTTGGTGGGAAAGCTATTGAAGAACGTGCACCAATAGATGATGATGACGACGAGAACGACGACGACGACGACGACGATGATGATGATGATGATGAAGGTTTGGCTCACTAGTTCAGTTTTCTATTTATTAAAAAAATTTGTTTTTTAGATGAAGATGACGATGATGACGATGATGAAGAGGAAGAGGAAGAAGAAGAAGGAGAAGAAAAACAAGACGATGACAATGAAGAAGCAACTATTGATGAATCTTTAAAAAAAACAGTTTAAATTAATGTTTATTTTTTTTCGTCTATCAGCCATTTTGTTTCTTGAATCCATTCTGCTAATGTTTTCATTTGATTATAAACTTCTGTTGTTTTTTCTGCATGTCTTTCTTCGACATCTCCATATTCATTATACCATCTCATATTATCAATTGATTCTTTTGTTTGTCCAGCACATTGTTCATAAGTTAATGGTATATAACGAATATATTTATTTCCCGTAACACATCGAATTGTTTCACATACTTCATCCATTGTTAATCGTTTAGCAACGAGCGGAACAATATTTCCTTGTCCCCATCGTTCCGGATGTTCAAAGCATTGAGAAACAACTGGACCAGTATCACGAACATCGTAAAGAGGAAGACGACCAGTAGGTTGAAGTGAAACACGAAATTCAAAATCAGGTGTTGGCTGAAAAAATGTTTGAAAATTTTGATAATAAAAGCCAACATAAATAAACGTTGTATAAGGAAATAATGATGGATTTTGTTGAGAACGAATATACGATTCAACGCGAGCTTTCGACCTGTAACAATCAGCCGTAGAAAAACAAAACCGATCGCTGAGATACATGATTATTTCAAGAGGAAAAATACCGTTTACGTCAAGAACTGAATTTTTTTGTTACCTTACCAACGCTATTGTATTCTCTATTTGAATGCTCGTGAAATTCGTTTTTTTGTTCCACTACGAGAATCGAGTCTATGTGTGATTAGAAACATTCATGCTATGATAATAATGGATAGCATCCTCACAATTCTGGTCTTCAGTTTTTCAATCTATATTTACCCGCTTGACATCATCACTGGACTTATTTTACATACCTATAATGAGGTAAATCAAGTTGTCCGTTAGAAATCGCCTTTGTATCAGGCAAACTGCTCCAAATAAAATGCCTCACACCTTGTTGTTTTGCTGCATTAACCATATTCATACCTTGTTCATATTCTTTCGTCATTCCACATTCCCAATAATTAGTCATGGCAAAGACGCCGTATGCATCTTTAAAAGCTTCTACACATTCATCAAAACAATCGATATTACATGATATCATTTGAGCACCGTTCGCAATCAATTTCTAAAATTAAGATAATTTACACGATAATCTAATTATTCCTTCTTTTCTCTCTTTTTGCCAGATTTTACTTGACTGCCTTCCAATGAAATATTTCGAGACAGACCACGTACAGTCCATTTATTCGAATTGATTAATGCATTGATTACACTTCCACCTTGCTGACCAGTAGCACCAACAACAACAATCACTGGCTTCATTCTCTCGTTCTTTCTTCTTCTTTGTTGTGTTCGTTACTCAAGATAATATAATCATGTTATACACTGATAAAAACCTTATGAGTAATCAGCAAACAAACACAAACTCTTACTTTTTATTCATTTTTACTTAGAAGTTTGTCTTTCAAGAAACAGTCCACTATGTAAGAGTAACTCGAGTTTAGTAGTATAACTAAAGTATTCTTTCTTGTTTTGCATGAAGGTCTCATGGTATGACCAATCCAAGTTATCAAGGAGATGGTGTTCGCTATACTCCGTCCTCTGTTCAAAAATTGCAAGGCGAAGTTAACGAGGCATATATTTATCTATTCGAACTTATTATATCATATTTATTAGGCATTTTATTTAGGTAACAGGTATTATGAAGGATAATATTCGATTAGAATTAGACCGTGCAGGAAAACTTGATGATCTTGAACAAAAATCAGGTAATCAATTTTATTGAGGAAAATAAAAAGTGATGCGAATTTTCCTTGATATTAATATAGACATGCTGAATGAAGGTTCACGACAATTTGCTATTCATGCACAAAAACTTAAAAAGAAATATTGGTGGAAAAATTGTCGAGTAAAGTTTTATTTTAGTTACGAAAATATATTTTCAGTATTTCGCTTTGCTGTAGATGTGGGTTATTCTTATTGGCATAATTGTTATTATCATCGTAATTATTGTCGGTAAGAGAAATTTTCAAGAATATTAAAATATTTCATTATCGATAATTTTATTTTCGTCTTTTTTTAAAGTTGCTGTTGTTATAAAATCAAAAAAAAAATGAATCATCTTGCTCTGTAACTATTTATGATAAATATATACGCTTAAATCATTTTTTGTTCGTTTCTTTTGTGTGATTAAATGATTGAATATGCCAATAGATATGATATGAGTTCATATCTCTTTGAAAGCAATATTTTATTCTAGAAGCATACGATATCTATAATTCAATGAATAAATAGTTAATCAAATATGATAAAAAAAACAGAAATTTTATTTATATTTAACTTATCAAACAAGCAAAAATAAAGAACTCTGTTCATCTAGGCGTTGTATTGAAATTTGATTCCTGTAGGATTACGTAATTAACACGTAAAATGTTCGGTTCTATATACGAAAGTAGAAACTTTTATTTTAACAAGAAGCTTTATCATTTGACCAGACGAAGGCGTAGTTAACAACTGTTTTTATTTACTACAATGTTAATATGTGTATGATATTGTTACTGAAAAATTTTACTGTGTATCTAAAAGAAATAAAATATTCTGAATGAAATCGTTTTAATTCAACAGACACTTACTCCTATCGAAAGTTGAGTTTTTCATACTTTCCGTTTTCTTATGGATACCTAACGATTGAACTGTCACTGGAATGTGTTTGAAAAACTACCGCGGAAGATCTTTGTAGGATATTATTTCTCAAAATAAAAGCCATCGGGATCGGCTTACTCTTCAATTTTGATTAAAATTCATCGGAGTGGAATGTAGCTTGGGAAAAACTCCTCGAAAACTAGGATCGTCTGAAAGCGAGTCGACCAGATGGTGACGAAATTTATTGACTTTCGAGATTCACCACCAGATGTTTCTAATGTGAGAGATATGCACAACGCGGCATGCATATAAAAAATGAAAATACTTGTTTTTTTAAATGAAGTTCTTCGTCGTATAACGTTTATTCATGTCTTTCTTCTTTTCTCAACTTGCACGAAAAATATTAATCTAAAAGTTGAAAAAGAATACAAGTAAATGCAATTATTTAATTGAACTAATTCACGTGCACATTTATTAAAGAAACCACATAGCAGTTATTGTTGTTTCATGCAACACTGCTTTTCAATCGTTTTTTTCACAATAAAGCTGAAATTTGATCAATCAAAAGGGAAAATGTTGATTGAATAATATTTAAGTCTTTGTCTGCAGCACGAACAACTTTATTAGCAAAACGATATAACAGTGATTTCTAATGGAGTTTCAATATTTAGTCAACAAAACTTCGTCAAATCATTATAAGCAGTTACTTGTGAGACATTGTGACTCTGTTACAGTGAATATAAACTATAATTAATGATAAAATCGTTATGATTTTCCATTGCAAACAACTTCTATGCATCTAAAGTATTCAGAATCTAGTCGATGTTTTCGAATGTCCTGCATTATATAGAATCGATGAAGACAAAATAAAAACATGCTATATTTTGTTTTGAACTTTGAGTGTCTATATGAATTATAGTTATGTTCATATGCAGGAGTAATGTAACTTCAACGTGAAAATGACATTTCTCATACAACAGTAGAAATCGCCTTTGTATCAGGCAAACTGCTCCAAATAAAATGCCTCACACCTTGTTGTTTTGCTGCATTAACCATATTCATACCTTGTTCATATTCTTTCGTCATTCCACATTCCCAATA